AGTGCATTTTAGTTAGGAAATTAGTGTGTATATAGTGATGTGTGAAATTTATTAATAGTTTTTGTATTTTATTCTACACTGAAGATTTTACCGTGTTTAAATAAATGTTCAATGTTCAATGTTGTCGTCGTCAGCGGATAACGTAACTTTACTCACCCTTTCCGTATGAACGATATGCTTTCGAATACGAATGGTATCCATTTCGCGCCATTGTTTCTCACCCGTAAAAAGACAGTTCTTGTAATCCCCAAATTTTAATGTTTTCTTGATCGTTGCATTTTTAATTCCTTTCGCTTTCTTTTTTCCTTACCATCGTCCAACTTGAACGAATATAATTTCGCTCGCAAACCAACAAATTCGGTAATCTGATCCGCGTCCGTTTCGAATTTCATCATTCGCAAAACCTTCATATTTTTTCCGCACGGAATTCCCGACGGATGAGATTCCGGGAAACTACTCGTATCGAACCATTCGTCCACGTCGTTCGAAATGTCTTTGAAAAAATCTTCGGTTCTTACGTGTAAGATGAACGAATCCGTATCCGTGTACATCAGTCTCATGTTCTCTCCAAATTTAGGTTTGAGATAGTCGTAGTAGAATATGAACATGTGTAATTTACTCAGTTCTAGAATTGCGGCTCCCACGTAAATAGGTTTGTTCAAGAAAGTCTCGGTCTTTTTCATGTGGATCGCAACCAGATCTTCCGAAAAGATCGTCGCACTCTCGAAATTTTGTTTCCTCGCCAACTTGTTCCATTGTTTTTCATCGTTGACGAGACGGATATCCGTACGGTTTCTCACGTTCTCCATCGTCTTCCCAAAGACAGCATTACACATGAGTTTGTAAAAATCTTTCTCAAAATCTTTCTTGTCCGTCGTGGCTTTTTTACGAAGTTCGATGTTCGTACGAATATATTCCGACATCCACGGTTTTTCTGAAAACATGAGTCCCTCATGAATTTTCGTTAATTTCATCCCGTGATCCAGATAAAATTTTAAATTCCTTGCGTGGACGATATATTCTTTTTTGTCTCCTAAATTCGGTGCTAATTTTGGTGTGCCGCTTTCCGTCATTATCCTTTCGGGTGCAAGCGGATAGTCGCTGTGAAAGTCGTGAAGTTCTTTCGGATATTTTAAATCCACTTTTAGAAAACAACCTTTTCCCTCGGAAAGTCGGTCCCAATTTTCCGGTTCCGACATCCATTCGAAGTCATCGTAAGGTAAGGGTTGACTCATGACGTATGCGTACAGACTATTCGCATCCAAATACGGAATAAATACGGCCGGAACGTCGGTTTTTGGGTTGCAAAGACTGGTTTACCCATCTCGTAAGATTTTTACTCACGTACGTCATAATTTTATCGTCCTCTTCCTGACTATAATTCCATAGAAATTTGCAGAGTCTGTTTTTGAAATCCAAAACTTTTCGGTCGATATCTGTCGGATCGTTCCGAATCCACAAATCCAATTCTTCATTAATTCTATGACACCTTCCGGAATATCGAAAATACCAACGTACTTATTATCGGCGGCACCGTATCGCATCACTGCCGTACTCACACCGCCGCGAATTCCTTTCTCGATAAATTTATACATTTTTTCGTCTGTAATTAGTTGTAAGACTATCCTAGTCATTTTCAAACATGCGTCCCACGATAATCCCGGGGATGTGAAATACCACGGAGAATCCAAACCGTACGTCTTCCTACTCTGTTTCCGAAAACTTTCGATCACGTCCGATAGTATTAACGTATCCGTTACCAAATACAAATTGTGATAATCCAACATACTTTTCATTCCAAAGACCTTCCATACTTTTTTCGCACGTTCGTAATTTTCGTCACTAATATCTTCTCCCGTTAATCCGCTGTAAAATTTCTCTTTGGGAGGAAGACGTCTTTCGTCAAATTTATCGTGACCATCCATGTACTCGTAAGGATACACCCCTTTCTGTTTCAGTAAATCCCGCTGTTCTTTCGTGTATCCCATTTTGTCACAATACCGATCCAAACTTACAAAGTCGGTCTTCTTATCCAATCCCAACGCAAGTTTATCCAACGATGACGACATCAGTTTGAGGGAATCTAAAAACCGAATTTCGACGGTCTTGTTATATTTTTCTCCCGTCTCCTCATCCGTAAACGGTCCTATGGAAATCATCTTCGAAAAGGATATATATTTTTGTTCCGTCTTGGAAAGACATTTAAATCTACCCGGTATCCTTGCGAGTGCACGAATGATCAGATGCGCATCGTATCCTTCGAGATTATGAAAATATACCGGAACGTACGACGGAACCTGCATTTTTAAATTACACGTGTCACAAGCGGCACCTCGGTATTTTCCGGTTAAATGACAGTGAGCTCTTACCTTGTGATTTTCTTCGGTAAATTTACAGTTACATACATAACAGCGAGTCTTTGACTCGTGACTTTTCATCTGATTATGAGACATCTCTTCCATGGGAACGGGATCGTGAGTTTTCCGGAAAAATTCGCGTACCTTTCCAACGACATCATCCACAAACCTATCGGATATACACTGTAATTCGTGAACCGATGTACGCCGGATCGTCTCCGACTTCATGATATTTTCGTTGGTACATACCGTATGAAAACAATAAGAATTCATAATATGTTCGTGTAACTCTTTCGTTCCGGAAGCTCTGGGATTATTATACTTTTCGATACTTTTCCTCTTCTTTTTCAGGAAAGATTCCGTATCGGCGCTGATCACGTACGGATGTATCTGCGTCCTTCTTTCCCCTTCGAATTTACAGACAGAATCTTCCTCCGGATATTTATCCTTGTGATGTTCTTCATTCAAACACCATTCCAAATGTTCTTTCAAAAGATCTTTTCTCCCAAATCCGTTCAGACATTGGTCACAAATATACTTTTTATGTTCGTATTTACTTAACTGGAAACTTACGAGTCTCGACATACTTTTGATGATGTAATAATGATCGCTCCAGAGAAAAAGACGTATCGTACGCGTCCCACCCGACGAAAAACACTTGCTGATCCGTAACGGACGGATTCTATCTTCTTCGTTCAGATGAAATACGTTCACGTTCACACCGTTATTTTTTTCGAAATTTTCGATAGATTCTCCATCGATCGGCGTCGGAAATTCAACACCCTTCCAATATAATTCTTCCGCCTGTTCACGAAGTTTTTTTGTAATCCTTTCCGGATGCTTTTTTGATGGAAATAAGTCACGGGTTGCCGCCCATTTGAAACATTGATCGTCCGTATTTTTCATGTTGATCAACGCTTTGTTTTTTTCCAACCAATTCGGAAGCGGAACGTTAGATCCCTTACCTTGTAACGGAGTAAATTTTCCGACGTGAATTTCAAGACGAAGTACCCTTTTCAAAAAATACTGACTCCCTTTCTTCTGATATGGTGAAAATTCTTCGAGTACCTTGTCTTTCATCTTTTCCCAGATATCATCCGTCATAGTACCCACACCGTGAAGTTTGTAATTTCCCGTCGTAAATGTTGCTTCTTTCACCGTCTCCTTCCCATTTTCTTCTTTTCCCATCAGACAGATTAATCCGATCCTTATGTTTCGTGATTCGTTGCCACGTAATCCATCCAAAAGTTCCTGTACTTTCGGACGAACGGCTTCTAAGAACGGAATGGGATCGTAAGCTGCGGTCGGTTTAATTATGTAACGAGAGACCATTCCACGCAATGCAGTTTCCTGAAGAACCGGTTCAGATCTAAAAGTCTGGCCGTTAATTCCTTCTTTTTCGCACGTCTTATTCTTGCCAACTCATTCCGACGAAGTCTTTGGTCTCGTTGACGAACCGTCTCGTTCAAATCTCTCCGATCTGTCTTTTCCTTGCGAACACGTCTTTTTTCTTCCAACACACGTCTTTTTTCCGCAGCTTTTTCTCTCCTCACCACACCGCGACGTCTTACCTCTTCTCTCGCAATACTATTTTTACGACAAGTCTCTTCTCTCGCAATACTATTTTTACGACGAGTCTCTTCTCTCGCAATACTCTTCTCCCAAGACACCTCTTCCGCCAATCTTCTTTTCGTATTTCGAATATTAAACTCGCGACGCTTCTTACGCTCCGATGCGAGTTTCTTAATCTCGCTACGGAACTTAGGTTTCGGATTGGTCGATGTTGACATTTTCTTATTTATTATACATACCTATTCCTATAAGGTGTTGAAAAAAAATTTCCCATACTCCGAATGAGTATGGGAGAAAAAAAAAAAGAAATGAGTCAGTCAATCCGAGGAAATTCCGCGCTGATCGGAGGTGGTCTTTTTGTGTTGTTTTATATTTACATAAGGTGTTGATGGAAAATTTTTTCACATATTATACTTGCAGGAAATCCCTCCATCCTCCCTTTTTACGTCTGCCCATATTGTAAATGGTTCCGTCGTCAGTTTTCGGGTAAAATACCATTGACTCATTGCAAACCAATGTCGACCGATACGATGATCCCATTCGAACGGTTTCGGTTTCAAATCTTTGTTCTGTATCGCATTATCTACGAGAATTTTTTTCAAAACCGTCTTACTCATAACTGTTAAAAAATTTAACCCCAACCGACTTAATTCTCTCTTCATTTCTTTTGCCGACATCACTTCGATCTCCGAAACAGGTCGCGGTGGTTCCGCTACTTTTTCCCTGTACATTTGAAGAAGGTACGATCTTTTCGGATTATGAACGTAAAAAATCTGAACTTTTCTAAATATTAATTTTAGCTGTTTTACCGTTATCGGTTTCGGTTTCACCTCTTTTCTGATAACCTCTCTCACTTCAACCATCGCATCCTCTAACATTAACATTATCCTATTTCTTATCTCGGCATATTCCCTCAGTCTTTCGACCGCTTTCTCAGGTCTTCCCCTGCTAATATCATCCACATATCCTATACAAGGACATCCACACTCGGTTACGTCCGCCGCGCGGTATTCCCTCCTCAAACCCCGTTCGTTTCTCTCGCGACGCTTCTTACGTTCCGACGCAAGCTTCTTGATTTCCACACGGAAATTAAGTTTTGAATTCACCATATCTCTCTATTTATCATACGTTTAATTTCTCTTTAAATACTTGACGAGGCCGATTTGTTCACGAAAATTTTTTTGTGAATTTTCGTGGGGGAAATTCCATGGAAATTTTTTTCATGAATTTTTACGGAAAATTTTTTCCATGAAAATTTTTATGAAGTTTATTTTTGCGGAAAAAATTTTTTTATGGAAAATTCCTTGAGGACGTTAAGGATGTTGGGGATGTTGAGGACGTTGAGGATGTTGAGGACGTTGAGGGGAAGAAATAGGGAAAAAAGACGGAAATGATTATATGTATAGTGAGGAAAAAAAGTGGCTCAGAACCGGTGTTTAGTCCCTCCCTACTTGAGATATTCAAAGTGTTGGAATCAGGAGCTTCAACACAAAGTTAACAACCCAACCAAAAACTATATTGGAATAGAACGTTTTACAATGTCAAATCTTTTGCATTACTTAATGCAGCATCTAAAATTGTTTGACCAAAATTAGTCTGGGTTTGTAACGGTTTGTTATAAAACTTATTGAATGTTGTGGCATTAGACCATCCTGCTGCTTCCAAAATCGTTGCAATAGCCATGTTTGATCTTTTGGCTGCAGAAGATGCAGCCGCTCTAGTACTATGTCCTGTAAAGTTATCAATCCCTGATAACTTTAAGACTAGTATGAGCCAACGTGATATAGTGTCCGTTGTCACTCCTTTATATGGCTTTTGATAACTGATTAATAGTTGCTTACACAATCCTCTAATATTTGTGGTCCTTGTTATGTATTCTCGTAGGACGTTCAGGGGACAAAGGTGCATTTGGGGTGAATGATTTCACAACCAACGGACTAAGATGTTTGCCTGGCCGGGATGTCTTCAACAAATCACTGAAATAAAAGGTGCATTGGCTGTCCGTGATTTTCATATCGTCAATAGATAGAGCCTGCAATGTTTGGCATCTTTGTGTCGATTTCAGTGCTAACAGCATTGTGAGTTTAAGTGTTAAATCCTACAATGGTATGTCTTTAGGTGGATGCAACGTTTTCAAGAAGTCAAGGACTGTATTAACATCCCAAATTTCCTGGTATCTCGGTAAAGATGGTCTAGTTTCAAATACACCTTTGATAAAGCGGCAGACCAAAGGGTGACTTCCAAATGACCCATTATTTGTTGACACAATGATAGATGATAGAGCACTTCTAGCAGTATTTAATCCACTATATCCTGTCCCTTGGTCGTACAATTCCCCCAGAAAATTAATTCCATCTTCTAGAGCTGGATAAAAGGGATCGATTTTCCGTTCACTACAGTATAGTTCCCATTTGGATAAATAGCATTCATACTGCTTACGCGTACCTGATCGCCATGATGCATCCATGACGTTTGTAACTGTTTGCGAAAAACCTCTGTTCTCAAGTTGTTTCCCGATAAGTGACACAGCAACAGGGACATTTTGTGATGGGGAGGGTGCTTTTCTGTTGGTAGCTTTTCCGTTGGTGCTTTTCTGGGTAGAAATAATGTGAATTCCTGCATTGGGAGCAGCACTGGTTTCAGAACAAGCATTTTCATAGCAACTGGCCACCATGTCTGTGTGGGCCACTTTGGCACAAGAATAAGTCCTTCGCATTGTTCCTTCTGAATTTTCTGGAGAACCCGACTGATTATACTAAATGGGGGAAAAGCATAGAACTTGTAATCACTCCATGTTTGGTGGAATGCATTTACTGCTAATGCTTCTGGATCAGGATGATATGAAAAGAATGGCTTCACCTGATAGTTTATCCGAGAAGCAAAAAGATCAATATTGGGCATAAAGTGTAGTTTTTCACATGCTTTGTGAAACATTTTTTTTGTCAAGGCACCATTCTGTATTTCGCCTACACTTTCTGGATTCATAGTCAGCCTCAATATTTTCTTTCCCTGGTATACGGGCAACTGTGAGCCAAATATGGTGTATGATACACCAGTCCCATATGGACTTAACAAGAGCATTTAATTTGAGAGAATGACTAGTTCCCATCTTATTCAGTGTAACCTGAACTGTGGTATTATAAACAAGCACTTTTACATGCTTGTCTTTAAGGCCAAACAACACAGCTAGCATTTCAAGATAATTTATATGGTCTTCTTGCTCTTCCACTGTCCAAAGCCCCCCCCCCCAGTTGCTAGATCATTTACTGCACACCCCCAACCTTGTTTGGATGCATCAGTTCGAATTGTAATATCTGGCTCAGGCTGATACACTACATTAACTGCTGTATATATGGAGTCAACCCACCACTGAAGCTCATTTCTAGCCAGTGATGTCAAACACATGTGTGCTTCAAAATTCCCAGCATTCAGTTTGAGGTCTTCTGATTTTTCATGCTCAGTGAGGCGGAAATGCAAAGGCCCATGCATGACCCCAGGTAAACTAGATATAATGAGTCCCACAACTTGTGCCACCCCACGAATACAAGGCCTTTGACGTAGGAGAAGGTGGTTGACTGCAGCTTTTAACTTTCTAGCCTTCTCGGGAGTTAGGGAGACTGTCATAGTGATTGAGTTCAATAAAAACCCTAGAAACACTAGAATTTGTGTGGGTATAAAGACAGATTTTTTCGGGTGTGGTACAAACCCGAGATTATCAAGCAGTCTTATTGTATTTATCACATTATCTGCGCATTCATCATAATTATCCCCAATGAGGATGGAGTCATCAATATATGGGGATGACACATGACCTTGTTGTCGTAGTGATGAATACACTGGTTTTAGTAACTTTGTGAATTTTCTGGGGCAGGATGCTAACCCATTAGGCAGGCATGTGAATTTGTAAAGAGTCCCCTTACATACAAATTTTAAGTATTTTTGATGTTGGTATGATACTCTCACTGAGTAATAAGCATCTTTTAAGTCAACTGATGCCATAAAACATTTTGGCTTCATTAAACTTATGGCTGTCCAAATGGAGTCCATTTTAAAATGCCTATACAGTACATGTGTGTTTAGGCTTTTCAGGTTCAGTATTAACCTGTGTGACCCATCTGGTTTAGGGCGGAGAAAAAATGGTGAAATGAATTCATCAGGCTCATGCCTAGATTCAACAATAACCCCTCCCTTGTAGAACCAAACACTATTTAATTGCTATTTAATTCCTATTTTATTGGGCTATTTAATTCCTATTTGTCAAAGTATTTATTTCCTATTTTTACTATTATTTTTTTTCGAGGTTTTTCCTATTTAAATTGGGGTAGAAAAGCTATTTTTTTCCTATCCAAGTGGAACCATATTTTTTCCCTATTCATGATATATTTCTAAACAAATACTTAATTGATGTACTCGAATAGAAATTAAATAGGTTTCAAATATGATAAAAATAGATCTATTTAAGGAAATTATTAAAAATATATAGTTTTGACATAGTTAATAAATATGTATGAAATAGTTAAAACATAGTGACAATATAGGTAAAAAATATGTAATAAATAGCTGAAACGAGTTTCAACTAAGTTTAAAATAGTCAATAAATAGTTGAAAAATAGTGATATTATAGTTTAAAAATAGATAATAAATAGTTCAAAAATAGTGATAATATAGTTTAAAAATAGATAATAAATAGTTCAAAAATAGTGATATTATAGTTTAAACATAGATAATAAATAGCTCAGAAATAGTGATAATATAGTTTAAAAATAGATAATAAATAGTTCAAAAATAGTGATAATATAGTTTAAAAATAGATAATACATAGTTCAAAAATAGTGATAATATAGTTTAAAAATAGATAATAAATAGTTAAAATACATCCCAGCTTGTTAAAAATAGATAATAAATAGTGGATATAATATTGCCCAAATAGATTAAAAATAGTTAAAAAATAGTAATAACATATTAAATAAATAGTTAAAATATGTCCTGTTAATACAGTTAAAATAGTTATTAAATATAGTGTATACAAATACATATAGCCTATAAATATTTTTAAAATATATTATAAATACCAGTAGTTAAAACATAGATAATAAAAAGTTAAAACATATAATGTAAATAGTCTTTAAATAAAATATAATTAGTAAAAAAAATTGAGAACAAGTGTAGAAGTGCTGAAACATCAGAGGCTATTACGGACCTTACTTTAGTATTTACCGTCTGTAAATGCCAGACAATTTTACTTATCAGTAGGTAGAGGTCTGTCAATAAATGAGTTAAAAATCTGTAGTTAGCAGTCTCTTTGGTAGCCAAAGAGTTAAGTATATACATACAGTAACTTGGCTGGGGACAGGGCAGAAAAAAAGCAAGAACATCATGTAACATCAAGAATAGGGCGAAGCTCAGCTGCAGCTAGTTCAGGCCTTCTTTACAGGTTAGAAAAAACATTTATATATTTGAATAATACCCTGAATCTAGCTGGATATTTTTTCAACTATCCAACATATACCCTGTATGGAGCTGCATAGCAAAAACATTCTATCCTGCACACCCTACAAAGAACTTCATTCTTCAAGTAAGTAAGGTAAGAGCAAATTGCTCCTTTATAGGTGTTAATATTTAGGTGAGATATGGGCGAGCATGCCAAAGTCGGTAAGTAAAATTGTCTAGCATGAAATGTCAGAGTTAAATAATAACATCAAAGTACTTAAGTAGGAAGTGTTTGATGTCAACATGAAACATGGGGAGAGTCTAGTACGCTAGCTAGACACTTCCCTTGATGAATAAAATTGTCCGGCATTAGGCAAGATAACATTTAATAACAAAGTGCTGAATATTGGGCTCATTGGAGTGAAATGGGTAATTCCAAAAACAATCAAACCCTTGCCGAGGTGTCTCTAAAATATATAAAATGTAGCCCAAAGGTTGTTACATATATTATTAAGCAGAACATGTGGTGTATTAACTAAATGTATTCATAAGTTTGAACAAGCAAACTAAGGCCTTTAACTGTTTTCAGTTAGGGACACATCTATAATCAAGTTGCCACATATAACAACAACACATCAAATTGATATTTTTATCTATCCTAAACTCACCCACCTATATATGAATAAATATTGGAAACTTGTGAAAGTACCAGTTAATTTGAAACCAGTCGATAAATTTTCTCAAACCATGTTTAGCTGGGACATGTCTGGGTAGGCATATGAGAATTGAGTAGATGCCATCATGTCAAGCTATATTATTTTATACAACAAACACTGGAATCTGGCAATCTGTCATATACACTATATTTTTATTTTTTTTTTTAATTTATTTTCCCATGTACATTACAATTATTAATACATTATTACAAATGAACTATTTGGGCTAGAGACCTACTAGAAACCTTTGCAGGCTTTTGTTTCTAGGCCACTAGTCATGTCCTATTTAGATTATTTTATTATTTACAGTAATTTTTAAGATAATATTAAATGCAGAAGAAAAGTTTTACAAGGTATATACAAGATATTTACAAATTTGAGGTATGAAGGGTAAATACTGTAGTGTTTACAATATTAAGATAAAGAGATATACTAGTTAGATTATTATACGGTATTTTTTTGCACAATGACAATGTATGGACAGACATTGTCTGCATAAAGAAAGTGTGATTTTTGAATCTATGTATTTATAACTGGATTTAGTATAAAGTGTTGCTTAATTAGCTTCTTGAAGGTATTATAGAAATTTATGTTTTTCAGATTTGTTTCTAATTTGTTCCACACATCAACTCCTTTATTTGAAAGAGTGTGTTTTACATAATTTATTCTCTTATAACATTTAAAAAGTTTTGATGCGTTTCTCGTATTATGTTGATGAATTTGGTTGTTTGTAACGAAGTAGTTAGTAAAATATTCTGGTAAATTTTTAAGATGATGATATCGAAACATAAATAAAGCAGTTAAATAATTGTTGATTTTAAAAATATCAAGTATATGTAATTCTTTGAATATAGCCTCAGTGTGTTCCAAGTACGGCTTAAATGTCATTAGACGTACAATTTTTTTCTGGATATTCATTATTTTATTAATTCGGGTTTTGTATGTGCTACCCCAAATTAAATTGCCATAAATCAGATATGGATAGACTAATGCATAATAAATTAGTTTGATAGCATTTCGATTTAAGAAATGTCTAATTTTAGCTATTATTCCGGATGCTTTCAAGAGTTTTTTGAAACATTAGTTATATGATCATTCCATGTCAGACATTCATCAATGATGATACCAAGAAATGTTGTACTTTTAACTTGTTCTACATTTACATCATTCATAATAATTTGAATTTCATGTTTTGGTTTTTTGTTAGTAGATCTAAATAAAATGAATTTTGTCTTTTGGATATTTAGAGATAATTTATTGACGTTTAACCATTCTGTAACTTTGTTAATTTCAGTTTGTATGATTACATTAAGCGATTTAAGACAGCGGTTGCTATAAAATATATTAGTGTCGTCAGCAAATAATATGAATGAAAGTAATTTGCTGCACTGTTCAATATCATTTATGTAAAGCAAAAATAGAATTGGTCCAAGAATTGATCCCTGTGGAACCCCACTTCTAATCACCATTTCATTTGACCTAACTTGATCATATTTCACTATTTGTTTTCTATTTTCCAAATAATCTTTAAACCATAGTTGTGTTATTCCCCGTATACCATAGTGTTCCAGTTTTTGAATCAGAATCTTGTGATTAATAGTGTCAAAGGCCTTTGACAAGTCAAGAAAGATTCCTATAGTGTATTCACCTTTATCGATTGCTTTACTAACTTTGTCAACAAGTTCAATGACTGCATGCTCGGTGGATCTATTTTCTCTAAAACCATACTGACTATGTGTTAATAATTTATTTTTTTCAATGAACTTAATTAATCTCTTATACATTAGTTTTTCTAGTAATTTAGAAAAACAAGAGAGTACAGAAATTGGTCGATAATTTTTGAATTCATTTTTTTGATTTGCTTTGTAAATTGGGGTAACTAGAGCTATTTTTAGGCCATTAGGAATAGTTCCACTAAGGA